TCTGACTTTTGATTGATTAATTAATTTTAATTATTTATGTGGTATTACTTTTAAGTAGCCGCCCAGAGTCCCCTATTGTGGGGGAGATGGGCGGGGAAGAAATCCAATAAATAAATAAAATAAAATAAAATAAATAAATTGTTTTTGGTTTTAAGTGTGAGCTGCCCAGAGTCACCTGTTGGGGGAGATGGGCAGCATACAGATTTAATAAATAAATAAATGTTAAGAGGGATGGAGCTAATCTCACTTCTGGGGCGAAGCATTGAAAATATGTTGATGCAGACATACATAAGTAAGTAATAGATCTCATAAGTAACAGATCTCAAGTTACCTTCTGCCCCTCTGTTATCTGCTATCTACAAGGAAAACAACAGCCTCACTGAGAAGAAGAAACAAATCAGTTCAAGGTGTCAAATGCCAGGAAGAACACCTCCTCCTTCAAGACAGACACCTTGGTTGCTATGGGGATGTGTATGATAAAGTATTTACAACCAGCCTAGTTCTCATCAGATGTGATAAATTCTTTACAACCAGCCTAGTTCACACCAGCTTCAAGGGTGCTGCACATTCTTTTATGTTTCAATTTTATTAAGGCACTCCCATTCATCTGAAGCCTTTAAAAACTTACTTTCTTCACCCAAAGATGTATTTTCCTCATTTTTTTTTTTTAATCTGCGCTCAGTCATTGCTGACCCTGCAGTGACTGCTTGGACGAGTCCTTGCAGCTTTCAAGGCAATTGTTTCAGAAGTGGTTTGCCAGAGCTTCCTTCCTAGGGCAGAGCCCAGCTGGCGAGCGCAGGAGGCGGGGTTTCCGTTGCTTCGCTGGACCCTAGCGCCTTGCACCCAAGGATTTAGTGAGTGAAAACAGAAAAGCAAGCTTCTTATCTCCATCTCCACACACACATTCAGAGGAATTCTTAAAAAGAGCTTATGGCTTCTGGTTACTGCTTGTTTTCTTAATTACTACTAATTGCACCAAAGGACTGTCATTTGGCTCCTCCTTAGCTCTCATGCTTTTCCCAGCGGCTGTTCTGCCTCATCACAATATAGTTAAACATTTAGTAATTGCACTTTTTGGTTTTTATTTTCTCCAAGAATACAAGATGAGTTTTGCATATGTTCCAATAGCAAAACAAGGTAAAATATATTAAACAAAATCAGTAAGAACTGTGTTAGTCAACTCAAAGGCCTATCTTTCTGAACCAATATTCCGTGTCTCTCAGAGGCTTTCTTTATCCCATTTTTATTAAGTATTTTGTTCTTTGATGACTATAAACTGAAGGCAGGCATCTCCCCTTCTGACTGGGTTCACACATCACTCTGAATAATGGCTTGTTTAATTAAGTCAACAATGATCTGAGTTCACAGAGTATGCTGAGCCATAAGCCATGCTTTATAAAATGTAAGTTCACCTGATGTACTAAGCCAAAACCACATTATGGCTTAATGTGACATGTAAATTCAGTCTCTGATTTCATATCTCTGTTTTATTACTAGACTTACATGCTGCTTCAGTCATAGTAAGTAGATTACAGACTTACAGCCAGTAACAAGTTTAAAATAGTATACAACATTGTCAACATAAATTTTCCTAACCTGATGGTCAACATCTGGTGCGAGTCCTCTCTTCCAGATCTTAAATGATGGGAGGAGGCAGTCTAATAGATATGTTATATAGAAAGTCATTCAGATTTTATAAACTATTGCTAGTATTGATACAATTCTGATTTGTGAACTAAGAATAGAGGCTTTCCCACCCCAGTTTTTAGTATCATCTAATGATCCACAATTTCTAGTCAAGCAACACTTTTATTAGGAGCAATTGCTTTTTTGTTTTTTTGGTTTTAAATCAAGAATCTTAATAAAGGTTCTGTCTGATCATAGAATTTGGATTTTCTTCTTAAGATCAACACTTTTTTTTGTTTTGTAATTACAACAAAACAATTGCTTTAATTGTGGTCATAGGTAATATATAGAACTTGCATTTAGTCTGTGAAAAAAAACTCAGGAACTTCTTGACTTGTTTTGAACAGTTGGTAGTTTTGTAGTTTCTTACACTGCTGCTAGAGGCATGTTGAAATACTATGTGAGTTTTGGATCTCTACTAGTTAAGGTGTGCATTTGAAAATATGAAAATATGCTTTTGAGAAGCATGAGTTAATTGAAATTCAAGCACAACTCCACCTTGTGCACACTTATTAAGCTCCTACAGAACATTCATATCAGATGGGTTAGGATCAGTTCATCAAAACCTTCTAAAGAAGGATGCAGAATTAATTAGCATTGAATCAACTTTCATACATAATGTACATCTTGTGCTACTTCCTTATCTTACAGCGGTGGTCTTTTATTGTTGGTATTATACTATGGAGACTAAGCTTAGCTGAATTATGATTAATAACTCAAAACAATTTTAGTGACTATGAGATCTGATGCCTAGAAATTTTTAATTCACAATGCAATCTTCAACTCTTCCGATATTTATATAAAGAAACTAGGAATTCAGTGCCTTTCACCAAGGGAACAACATGCCTGTGGAAAATGATCATAGATCTACCAGCAGTATTCCCACTGATCCAAGAGCCCAGTCTAAGATGCCTTCAGATCAGATGCCTTGGTGAGACCAAACTGAAACTCTCATGGTTAAATCCTCCATTAATTTCATTTGAGAAGGATTTGCAAAATTCTAGGGAAATTCTTCTTCATATAAATTAATGCTGGCTTCTCAACTCCATCCCTTTTCAGAAAGGAATGTTACTAAGTAATTTCTTCAAAAATAAGGTCAGGTGACAATTCAAGGAAAGAAAAAATGGCCACTTAAGACCCAAATTGAATATATTGGTTTGGCTTCAAAGTCTTCCCCCTGGAGAACAAGTTAAAGTAATCCAAATGAGTAGTGATCAAAGCATGAGTTACTGTTGCCAAAGCATTCTGCTAAGCCATGATATTTGACTTTTCTTTGGCTATTTCATTGTCTTAGTTGTTGTGCCACTATGGTTTGAAAATCAATGTGCAAATCTATGTGTACAGTTTTAAAAAATGGGAAAATCATAATGTAGCATGATCCACTCTTGTGGTGGGTAGAAGTCAGTGGGGTATACACTTGGGAAAAATCCAGTGCTTCTTATAATGTGGAAAACGAATTGACATTTTGTTTGTAATTTATAGAGTAAGAGCAACAGTTGAATAATAGGACTGTGCACACTTGAAAATGATTTGGAAGAAGTGAGTTGGAACTTGCACAAGCACAGAATTAAAGCAGCTGCATATTTTTTTTCAGAAGCTTTAAAAAAGTGGCTGCTTTAAGGAGTAGCAGAGCAATGCTGTGTTTGTACAAGTTCAGATGTACTTTGTCCCAATAATTTTTTTAAGAGAGCTCAGTACTCTTAAATAAGATAAGGAACCATTCAACTAGAATCAGCCTTCATTACCAAAGCACTTGTCAAATATGGCACTTGCTTTTTTTTGCTAATGGTTCTTGGGAGCAAAACAGATCAGGTAAAACAAGTAATGGGGGGAAAATGTGGTCATCTTGTAAAATTACTATTTTATTTTTTTCAGAAAGAGTTGAACACATAATCAAGAAAAATGCAATGTGAGTAAAATTTATCAACTTTTACATTTTATTGATTGATTGATTGATTGTGAATCATCTATGTATGTGACCTTCACATTTTTCTGTCTTTTTTTGTCCTTAGCATATGCTACTATAGAGCTCTGGAAAAATCTGTGCAGTATGTACTGCTTAGGATATCATTAAAATCAACAAAATCTCCCTAGTTAAGTCTCCTTAGTTAGGCTATGAATTGTTAACCTCTTCTATGTCAGTGTCACAACATGCAAAATCATGCAGTGTCCATGATTTGGACATAATCCTGAACTAATTGAATAGATTACATGTACCCATCTGCTTCTCACCTGCTATCATTTTCAACTAACCAATAAAAACCAGGAAATGCAATTTCATTTACAGTTTGAAGATATAGTCTATATACTACTAAAACTGTCATTGTGTTTTTCTGTTTGTCTGTTTGTACCCACAAGTTACTGTCAAGTTGCTTTAACATGAAGCTGTGCAAAGGCCCTCCTAGCCACGACAGCCACCTGCTCTTCAAGCAGGAGTTGCAAATCTAGGAGGACCAGCACATTGCACACCAGGTCTATCTGGGGCAGTACCACCCCATCCAGCATCAAACATGATATAGTCTAGAACTGTTGTTGTTGTTTAGTCGTTAAGTCGTGTCCGACTCTTCGTGACCCCATGAACCATA